GAGAACTTAGGATACTTGAATAACTACACTATGTGCTGGAGTAATAAGTTAAAAACTTCAGTCTCTAACTTAAAGAAACATTTCACATTTTAATTCAACCTTGTTAAATGCTATTAAAGAAACATGAAAACACGGGCAAATAACTATTGAAGGATGGAACACAGTGAATAATTCCACTCAGAAGGCATAAAATGGGTAATAGAGTATCACAGGCATGGAAAGCCAAAACACTCTGGCAAAAAACAAAACAAAACAAAACAAAACAAAAAACCCTACATGAAAGATCTCCGCGAGTGAGACCCAGTGAAAAGAACAGGTCATCAAAGAAGGAGGTACCTTTCTCTGAAGGGAGGAGAGAACTTCCACTTTGACTATGACCTTGTCTAAATATGATCAGAGTTAACTCAAAAGGCTTCCATAGCATTGGTGACTCATGACTAGAGCCTAGGGTGATTACTGATGCCATAAACAAGAGTGTCAATTTGTAAAGTCAACAACAGGAGTCACTGTGCACTTACTCCTCATGTAGGATCTCTGTCCTTAATGTGCTGTACATTGTGATTTAATGCTATAACTAGTACTCAAACAGTATTTTTCACTTTGTGTTTCTATGTGGGAGCAAACTGTTGAAATCTTTACTTAATGTGTGCTAAACTGATCTTCTGTATATAAAGAGAATTGAAAATGAATCTTGATGTGAATAGAAGAGGGGAGACGGAGTGGGAAAGGGGAGGGTTGCGGGTGGGAGGGAATTTATGGGGGGGGGCATTGTAACCCATAAGCTGTACTTTCGAAATTTATATTCGTTAAATAAAAGTTTAAAAAAATGGGTAATAGAGAGTGGTATCTGAATTGATTTTTATTTATTTATTTATTTGAAAAGAAGAGTTACAGAGAGGCTGAGGCAAAGGCTGAGAGAGAGTTTTTCATCTAATGGTTCACTCCCCAAGTGGCCACAAGAACCAGAGCTGCACCGACCCGAAGCCAGGAGCTTCTTCCGGGTCTCCCACGTGGGTGCAGGGGCCCAAGGCCTTGGGCCATCTTCTACTGCTTTCCCAGGCCATAGCAGAGAGCTGGATCGGAAGCAGACACGAACTGGTGCCCATATGAGATGCTGGCACTGGAGGCAGTGGCTTTACCACTAGGGCACAGTGCCAGCCCCCTGAGCTGAATTTTAAAGAACAATTCCTAGCTCTGTTGTGGTATATTCAGAACAGCACTTTATCCGGAAGAAACAGAACTGGGGAAATGAAAACAAAAAGCGAAAATCATTTGTGTTCAAGGAAAATCTAGAAATTTAATGCGGCAGAAGCACAGGAAATACGGACAAGAGAAGTAGAATGGAGTATATATGTGTAAAGGTCATATATGGAATAGGTTTTAGAAGAAAGCCAGGATGGAATATGCTATTACTATTGTTTTTCATTTTGATGTAAAAGGTTTAGGATGCTAGTATAACTGCTTAAACAGCATGACTTATTCTTGCCTCCAGAATAAGCCCTTCCTGTTTTATAGAACAGATAATCCATGCCCACTCTATTTCTCTACCATATTCACTGATGATTTTCTATTTCTGGCTCTCCTGTAGTGTTAACTTTTAAAACCACTTTGTAGCACATAGAAATACATATTTGGAGCTTCTCAAGAATAATTGCCAGCACTAGCAATTCTGATTGAGGTTCTTAAATGGAAGATATAGCGTGGGACTGAGGAGTAGTTTTCTTTCTGAAGGTCACATGTCCTCCAGAGACTGCATTTGGGCTGTTTTACAATATTGCTTCATGATCCCACTCCATATATTTTCTATTCTTGCTCTGTTACCATCAGAACTTCCTCTCTCTCCTATCTGTCTTACGCAGGTCATTATGTGCTAGGCCTTGTACCTGCCGGGACTGAGTTTAAACGCTCAATATCAATGCTATCCACAGTTGGAGTTTGTAAGACACAGTCACATTCATGATTTCATCTGGTGTGATGAGCATACCCTTCCCTTTACGCATACATTTTAATGTATGGAAAACCAAGGCCTTATCTCAAAGCTAAGTACTAAATACTAAAATCTAGCTGAAAATATCACATCTTCTATCACTATTTCCTGCATGTTTTCTCTAAGATACAAGGTTTCACATTTCTAGCTATTTTTATGTAACCCGCACCTTCACTAAGCATTTATTCTCAATAGTTTCTCACCTCACAACCTTTCTCCAGGTTTCCACACGCTTTCGCTTCCTTATTCAGTCTTGTTCACTAACCAGAGGTAGCCCAGAATGAAGAGAATTTAAGTTTTTCCTGGTTTAAACGCTTGCTTTTCCCTTCCCCTCAAAAATCAGCAAAAGCTGCTGAGTCTGTGAATTCAAAAGCAGAAGTTAGACCAGTAATTACAGTTATGCAGTTGAAGAATTTTCAAGGCTGTTTTTTTTTTCTTTTCTGAGGCTTATCATCTCAGAGTTGAAATCTGAATTCTCCATCTTCCTCCAGTATTTCCATGTGACAGCTACAAATCTATTTATACAGCATGCCTAACAACCATGAGTAGGGCAAGTAAGAAATCAATTGACATATTATTTGAGTCTGTCTCAAAACATAATCATACCACACCGTACAGATTCCCAGAAGAATCCATGAATGTTGCTTTTTCAAGCAAGACAGGTTTGAACGTAATATTTTCCCCACCCAGAGGAAAATTTAAGAATTCAGAGAAGATCAACTCAAAAATGAATAATGCAAGGACTTGCCATTTGTGTGGAATAGGAATGGCTCACCTTTTAAAACATCATTATTTATGAATTTGACTTTAGCTGCTCTAAGATTAAATCTTTCTTTTTTTCTTTTTCTGGCCAAATATTTGTGACATGAAAAATGGAATGGGATTTATCACGAGTTTGATACTGCCAGAAGTATATTAAGCAGAAAGAGCTGACCTTGTGGAGTGAAGGGACACCACACTCACCGGTTCAGGGTGCAGCCTTCAACCATTCTCTCAGCTTCCCCTACCCTCTACTCCACAGGGCGAGTTATTGTTGGGGATTACAGCACAGGACAGACTAAAATATGAATTTCTCCTTCTCTTCATCATTGAGAAAAATAAGTGGATAGAGTGGCCAAAGCAATGATTTATGTAAAATAAAATCATTCAGGGTTTTATGTTTTCAACAATCTGTAGTATTTTTGTCAAAAGATAAAGGGCTATAGGTGATTTATTCACATAGAGTGGAGTATAGATCCAGTGCAAGACTCGGTGTGAATGTGTCTGATTGCATCCAGCATCTTTTATTCTTATCACCTCATTACTTCCATGTAGTTTTCACTCTCTTACTGGCATCTCCGCTCAAGTTTTGCTAAGCTGCCAGGAAATAAGGTCAAGCTGTGATATCAGATTGAATCACTTGTATGTACTGAATGGATAAGTTATCTTAAGCAATAGTAGTAGTCCAGCCTGGGATTCAAAGGATAATCCATCAGGTATATGCTCCTTGAAGATCAATCAGGAGCTCTTGAACAGAGGGCCCTGTTCCTTGCCGGGTGTTGGCTGGAAGCTACCATCAGTTCCTTGCCATGTGGCCCTCTTCAGAGAAACAGCTTGCTTCATTAAAGCTGGCAATCTGCTAGCAAGATGGAACTAACAATCTTTGATAATCAAATTACAAAACTAGCATCACTTTTCCACTTTTACTGATCAGAAGGAAGATACCAGGTTCAACCCCCAGAGTGAAGTGGAGAAAAATTACATGAACTTATAGCAACAAGAGTTGGGCATCACCAAGGGCCACTGTAGAAATCTGCCTGTTGGGGCTGCTGCCGTGGGTAGGCAGTAAAGCCACTATCTGCTTCACTGGTATCCCATATAGACACTAATTCAAGGTCTGGCTGCTCCACTTCCAATCCAGCTCCCTGCTAATGTGCCTGGGAAAGCATCAGAATATGACCCAAGTGCTTAAGGCCCTGCACCCATGTGGGAAACCCCAAAGAAGCTCCTGGTTCCTGGCTTTGGACAGGTCCAGCTCCAGCTACTGAGGCCATCTGGGAAATGAACCAGTGGATGGAGGGTGTCTCTCTCTCTCTCTCTCTCTCTCTGTAACAATGCCTTTCAAATAAGTAAATCTTAAAAAATAAGAAGTGTGCCTCTTACACAACTGAAATGCATGCTTTTAAAAATTTTTACTTATTTTCATTTTACTTGAAAGTAGAAAGACACATAGAGACATAGAGAGAGAGAGAGAATATCTCTTGTATTCTCATATCCATCTACTGATTCAATCCCCAAATGCCTGTGCCAACCTGCGCTGGGCCACACCGAAGCCAGGAAGCCAGAACTCAGTCCAGGTTTGTCACACAGGTGGCAGGGACCCAAGTTCATGAGCCATCATATGTACCTCCCAGCATGTGTATTAGCAGGAAGCTGGAAACAAGAGGATAGCTGAGATTCAAACCAGGCAATCCAACATGGGGAGTGGGCATCCCAAGCAGTGTCTTAACTGTTGCGCCAAAATGCTTACTCCTGAAATGCATATTGAACATTAGAGAGAGAAACTGAACAAAATACTGGATCAGTAAAGCAGGCACTTGCCTTAATGCCACAAAGTGTGTATTTGAGAGTCACTTTTTTTATACAAGTTATTATTGCTTTTGTTATTAACATCCTTAGTCCTCTGTCTCTGCCAATGAAGAAGAATGCATCTTCACTGATTCAAGTGTGCAGGATGCCTAGGGCTTGAAATGTATGAGGACGCAGGACGGGTATCTGAATTTTCCATGTCCTATGTGAGCTTGTCAGCACTTACGTGGAGTGCAGAACAGGAGCACCCGGCTGGAGAAAGGAGGATGTAGCTATGTGCAGGCATGGGCTTCAGATGTCCATTGCCACCTTTAGTTACTTTGTCCTTGCATACTCTGACTAGCATGGCATGCAGGTGCCAATAGTGCTTGCTCCCCATTCTGCAGGCCTCCAGGTCAAGGTGAAAGTGATGGTTTCCCTCCAAGCTCTCAACCACCATCTTGACCTAGTCCTCCAGCATCTGTTCACAGGTTTGGGCCATATCACTGACCTTGAGGCCAGCATAGTCTACTCACTTCAGAGCTATCTAACAGTCTTTCTGTGGAGTTCAGTTATGAGCCTAAACCCTAAATTAGCTTAGATTAAATACATTTGGAGGAGTGAAACTAACTATTCCTGGAATTTAGATTCTTCCACCTTCCTGTATGACGCCTAGCCCCTAAGTTGCTCAAATGCACCAATAAAATGCATAAATTCAGGTAATTGCCATATAAGGAATAAGGAACTCACCTACGTGTGTAGTGATGTATGTACTTGTTTACTCGAGTGCGTAAAAATGCTGGGAGGGAGAGAGACGGGGCTCCTAGCACTGTGCTATGTCGTACGTGCTGGTAAGAGCCCCAGCTAGCTGGTAATAAAATCCTCTTGCTGTTGCATCCAGCCTGCCTTTTGTGAGTTGTTTTTTGTTTTTTTTTTTTTTTGGGGGGGGGGTTCCAACCGGACCCAACACTTCCTCCAAGAGTAGCTGGAGCCCTCAGGGGGAAGGGTAGCCAATCTGAGCAAACAGCTCCACCTCCACATGCTGCAATGAAGCCATCTACTTATATAGGAGACTCTTCTTGGTTTATTCCTCTGGCAGCTCCAGGGTCACATTACCTGCATGCTGAACAGTGGCACTGATTTCCCATTCTAAGTCTTCCAGGGTACATAGTCCCTCATCTGCCAGGCTATAGGTAGCCATCAACCCTCAGAGAAGCCTTTATCAGATTTTCTTCTTTTTTTTAAAAATTTATTTATTTATTTGAAAGTCAGAGTTACACAGAGAAAGGCAGAGAGAGAGAGGGAGAGAGAGAGAAAGAGAAGGAGAGAGAGAGACAGAGAGACAGAGAGGTTTCCATCCAATAGTTCACTCCCCAATTGGCTGTAATGGCAGGAACTGCGCTGATCCGAAGCCAGGAGCCAGGAGCCTCCTCCGGGTCTCCCATATGGGTGCAGGGGCCCAAGGACTTGGGCCATCATCTACTGCTGCTTTCCCAGGCCACAGAAGAGAGCTGGATCAGAAAAAGAGCAGCTGGGACTAGAAAGGGCACCCATATGGGATGCCGGCACTTCAGGCCAGGGCGTTAACCTGCTGCGCCACAGCGCTGGCCCCGAGATTTTCATCTTAAGATAAGTACAACACTTGAGCCTTGGCAAGAGTCATTTTTTAAACATTTCACTAGCTCTGTAAGTTTGAACAAATTGTCTATATCCAGCCCACTCACTCATTTGTTAAAATGGATGTTTAACATATATATGTGTGTGATATGTGTGTGTGTGTGTGTGTGTGTCTCCTCTGCAATTATTCCCTTTCCTCTAACAACAGAACTAGATTTTCCTTTGCTCCCCCACTCTCAGGCCAACCAAATCCAAGCAGAGCTGATACAACCGTTAACTTTCACAGAGCTGGGCATAGGAAATAGGCCTCGTCATTTAAAGCTATCCTGACCGGTTTAGGGTGGGACATAAGATCCATGCTGTGTCTTCAAGAAGCAGGCCTTGGACTTTTTCTGGAAATCATGGGAAAGATACAGCCATTTATCAATGAGGGCGGAGGCCAGAATGTAAACTGACATTGTCTGTGACTGCCCGTTAATGAGTAGGAAAAGCCTGCGTGTGAATAAAATTCACACAAGAATTCAGTACTGAGAAACAGAGACAGATTCCTAAAGATGCTGAAACCTGGATTCAGCCTTGCCTGAAGCTAGACTGCTTCGATTCCTTAGTAATATGAATCAATACGTTTCTGTGCAAGCCTATTTGAATTGTGTCTGGCCATTGCCTGACCCATCCAGCACCTGGAGCCATGTGTGGCCACACAACTTGCTCTCAACAAATACACACAGATGAATTCGTGCAAGAGCAACGTGGAGATTAGCTCTGGGATCCAAAGGGGAAGGCACTGGAGCATGTTCTCTCCACGGAGTCCTCCTTAAATCTTCCATCTTTGGCTGGCTGCTTTCCAGAGCACCTCTTTGAGGATTCTGCTTTGAACTTGCGTCCACGATATTCTGGGAAGGCATAGGGTTAGGCGCTGTCTTCTTCATTCATCACTATCCTGAGCTCACTGCTGTAGGTGGGCTGAGCTTGTAAAATTCTATCTCTGCAGCCTCAGGCACAGGAAGTTGGCCCATAGAAGTTCCAAAAGAAAAAAAGAAATCACCCAGCGTATAAGACCCAGAGCAGGAAGCAAAACTAATGAAGGAATGTCCTCAGCTTTCACAGGAAATTATTTTCACTCCACTTCTATAAAAAGTAACAGATTTGACCCCTCCTCGCTCCCCACCTCTTTCCTAGCTAACCTCCTGTTAGAGGCAACGGGAGAGCAGGGGGCCAGGCCGAGGCAATGAAAGACAGGCTGCTTTTCACGAAATGATCACCAGACACCATTGGTCACAGCCAGAGGCTGCCAAGAATAGTTAAGTCTAGCGAGGTGCTGAATTGAACAATTTTGACTGAAGAAATTCATAACTGTTACTAGTGATTACAGAAGCAAAGCATCTCTGTCTGATAAGAAACTGGAGAGCAGAAGGAAAAATCATATTCGGGCTGCTTTTCTTGCTGTATTGTGACTGTTTATCAAAGGAAGTTCGGATGTTTTATGTCAATACTTATGAGTCTATGAAGTTGTTTGGGAGATTAAAAGGAAAAAGAAAGGCATAAAGGCAGCCAATGTTCCTAGACACTGAGGTGGGGGCTCCACACGCAATCCTTTAAAGAACTAGCTAAGTTGCATTTTTCTGCACAGCTCATGGCAGTTGGAATCTGGTCCACTAGTCTTGAAAATAGGCTAGGGCACTGTGAACAGCCCGTATCCAGCACATTAAGCAAAAAAAGAACATGTTCAGATACGGGATCCAACCAAGCAAGAATTGAAAGCATTACGGTGAACAAAGGCCCAGGGGATAGATAGGATATTACCTGTGCCCAGTGCACAGGGCAGGCACTGAGTTGAGCAGGCTTGTATTCAACCGGACAGGATGTGACCAGCCCAAATCCTGAGAGAACCTTACACCTTGTGCATTGTGCATCTCAGACCTACCAGGCCTGGGCTACGCTTTTTAGTTTTCATTCTCTCTCCAGTGCCTAGCACATTGGTTGGCAGCTGTGTTTATTGATTACAAAAATAAATTACTGCTTTGGGCAAAAAAAGAGAAAATATTTAATACCTTCATGATTAAAATGCAGTGTACACCGTCATTTTTTAAAAAAGAGAAAATATATTTGTCCCAATGATCAAAATGGAGTTAGAATATGTTTTCAGAGCACTTCATCAAAGCAGTGATTCCTAACTTCACATTATTTTGTCAGTTCTGGTTTACAAATAGCTTCAGCATTTAACGTATGATTTTATCATCATAATCCTAGGTATCAGGCAAGTCAGATATTATTTCACTTACTCATTCCATCAACACAGTAAATTTCTATTATTGCCAGTCAGTTTGCCTACAAGTTTTAACTTTTTAAAAATATATTGATTTTAGACAGAGACAGAGAGAGAGAGAAACAAGTCGAGACAAGAAATGAGTCCAGGTCTCCCATCCACATGGGTGGCAGGAACCCAATTACATATACAATCACCCACTGCCTAACAGGGTCTGCACTTGTGGGAAGCTGAAGTTAGGAGTCACAGCCGGGTGTTGAAGTCAGGTACTCTGATATGAAACATGGACGACGCAACTGGCATCTTGTCTGCTAAGCTAAACGCCTGCCCCAGCTTCTTGGAAATTTCAGCTGTAGACCTGCGGAAGAAGTGCTCTGGGACCCAATCATCAGAAGCTCACATCCAAGTGAGGGAGACAGACAGATCTTTACAATAAAATATGCATTTAGACAAACAATGGGAAGCATTAATGGAAAAACCAAGAAGACACATTAAATTATTGAGTAATTTGCCTCAGAGCCAGAAAAGGTCCATGAAGTGATGACAAGTTAAAGGTAGTAAAGGAGTATGGCAAATATTCAAAGCCATGGGAAGGCTCTCCAGAGAAAGACTAGAGCAAACATCAACCATTGTTTGCTATCACAGAACAGAAACAATGAGTGAACAGAATATGAGACTGGTAAGGAAATTAGAAGCCAATCATGCAAGGTTTTGAAACATCAAGCCCTAATCTCCTACTGCAGATCATGGGAGCCATTTAAGAATGCTTACTGGGGCAGGGGTGTAAGCTGGACAGATTTGCATCTTATTACCCTGACTTTCCAGAAGGGGAATCGGAGCACCAAAGGTTAGAAGACTTTGCTCAGGTCATAGAGGGAAAACTAGGGGAGCCAAGTGTTTGCTGGACTGGAAGTGAAATGCCAAGCATCTACTTCCTTCTTGCTGCTTAATCATTCAAGACAACTTTTGTCATGTGGAAAAGGAGTTAATTATAATCAGACTGGAAATTATGCACCTGAAAATCTTTAGAAGGAAAAATGTAGGGGAAGGAACAAGATAGAATAGCAGATACAAAACAATCCTTATCAGTCTCAATCTGTTTTACATTTCTTTCCAGACTCTGCAAATTAGCACCAACACAATGAATCTTTGTAAATTAATGAGGGTAACAGCGGGGAAAGAATCAATCAGCCACTCTTGTTCCAAAACCCTCCTCAGTAATAACCTGAAATAAACCTTGAAGTCATGACCCCAGACTAATAGCCTGCTTCATACCCTTTGAACAAAACAATTAAATAATCACATTCCTCTTGGCCCTACTTCCTGAATGTATTAATTAGATTAAAACACAACTTGTCAGGGTCCCTTGGGAGAAAGTAGTTGTCTGCAGCTTCCAGTGTCACATCCTGCCTTCTTGTAGCAACAGCCTGTTACCTGCCCAGGCAAATTTTTTTTTGCCACACAGCTAATCTCAGTCCTTCTACACCTGGCTCCCTCATAGTTTCTCTCTTCCATATTCCTCTACCCACAGTTCTCTTCCTCCTCTACTGGGCAAACATCTACCTCTCTTCTAATTGCATCACAAATCCTCTGTCCTAAAATATAAAAGCCAGATGATAGCTCTTTTTAGCTCAATTTCAACATCTAATCTAGCTACCCATCCATCTCATCTTTATGATATATGAGCTCAAATCTTAATTCTACCATTTCCTATCTCTGTGATCTTAAGAAAATTACTTAACCTCTCTCTCCTCTGTGCAGTGGGGATGACAACAGGGAATATCTTGCATGGCTTCTATGAGGACTGAATGTGTTCATTGCTGTAAAGTGTTTCAAATAGTGCCTACCTCATTTAATGTGCAATTTCCCAGTCCTGGGGTTTTCAGGATTCAAGTATGATAAGAGCTGTATTCCTGGCACAACGTAGTAAAACATGAAGCCAATGCAACAACACATCAGACTAAAAGCACTGATAGAAAGGGGTATGTGGAATTCTAAGAGCACAGGGCCTGGGGGTCCAGAGCCAGGCCAGGGTGCTCCCTGAGCCTTGTCCCCTCCCTTCAATCCAGTCTCTGCCAAGTGATGGGTCTTTTCTGAAGCTCCAACACCCACTGCACTGTGTAATTCTGTTTTCTTTCCCTACACTATATTACTCCTTGAAGTTTATTACTAACTGGCATCATATTATCTTTTATTTATTTATTTACTTACACCAGATGTTCTCAGAATTAGATCTCTGGACCATTGGCATCACCCAGAATCATTTCAGAAATGCGTGAACTTGGCCTCATCTCACGCTGGAGAATGAGAGCTCCTGG